TTTTTTTTTTACATTAACACTTCCAACGACCGAGAATACTGGAATAAACACAGACTGAGACTTTCAATGTTCACACTTGCTGATTTGTATCGAGTCATTGCAAAAAAGAACACTATCTAAGCAACGTGGGTGCTTCGAACTTACCAATTATTTTATCTGATTGATTGCAAGCGAGGGCAAACCGAGTTGTCTCACTATAGTTCTCCATCGTACGCCGCAAAGCCTAAATTGATTACTACATGATGATTGTAATAAATTTTAGCTCTCGAGCACATCTTCAGAATTGGAGTAATAAAATCCATTTCATTTTGACTCTTGAGATAGTATTAGCTTGCATAGCGTCTAATTTAGCACAATAAAGAATAGAAAAATGACTGAGAATGATTTGCGTATGACCACAAGAATAACAAACCTGCTGAGCGCCTTCGGTCATAGAATCGGCTTCATCCAAAATGATTATTTTCTGACGCTTTGCAGGAAGTGTCACTTTGGTTTGACAAAACGTCTTGATTTTGTTGCGAACAACATCAATTCCTCTGGTTAATAAGGCGTTGGCAAAGTGAAAAAAAGACAATAATTGAAGCACCTATCATCAGAAGCATTAAGCTCCAAGACAGCATTCTTCACATGTTCCCCCAATGATTCTTTTGCCATAGCCCAGATGGCTGTAGTTTTCCCGCATCCTGGTGGTCCCTAGTTGACTTAATTATTAGGACAGATAACGACAAAAAGAAGTTTTTTTTTGACTATCCGTTCGCTTAGAATAATGAAGAACTAACTCAGCAATAGCAAATAATTATCAACTAACCGTTAAAATGAAGTGAGGAGGATTTCCTTTCTCGACAAAGAATCCCAGCGATTGTATGATCTCCTCATTCCCGACAATTTCCGATAATTTTTGCGGACGATACTTCTCCACCCATGGAATTGATTCTTTTGACATCTTTTGTACTGAAATTAACAGATTACCGATAGAAAGCGCAACGTACTTCAACTTTGCGAAAGGTTACAGGATGAGGAATCTAAATTCCCGCTCATTTTCGGTCAGGTCGCAAGCCAACTCGTCCAGAAGGATATTCAACTCATTTTCTAATTTTTTCATCGCCTCTTGTACCTCTAGCAGAGTTATTAGACATTAAGAGACGTATTGACAAATTCACCCACGTGCGACCAACTTGTAGCAGTGCTGCTGCTTATCAGATTATCGAGAAGGACGAGTTGGAATTAACTAAGCTTATTGGCTTGGAGCACATGTGCAGCGCCTGAGTCATTGATTCCAGCACAGAATAGACAGCTTAAGCATGCTTTTATGACAAGTCATGTTAGTCTAGTTATACCAGCTTCAAAAGGAAAGGTTATGTGTAGGAGTAGAATGAAACTTGAGCAGTGGATACACAGTGTACTTCGCTTTTCTAAAAAAACTCGTTTATCCACCTTACTTGTATGAAGTAGCATTGGTTTCTTTTCCTATCTGAATAAGTAGTGATCAAATTGGACAAGACAAAATTAATCGCTTTGTCCATCCAAGCTCCTTGTCATCTTATCACAAAGGTTGCTCTAACGCTAGTGCAGTTGCGTAGCGCTCGCATGGCGCTGGTCCTCGTGAAAAAAGACGGTCATTCTTGAGCTTTCGTCGCAGCTTACTTTCACTTTCCACCTGCTATCACTTATGGATCGCAATCTCGTTCCCATATGCATTTAACTGAATTTTCTCGAAGACGCTTCTATTCGCTTACTGCCTTCTTTGCCGCTATCTCAGCTTCGTATCTCGTATTTGATAGCATTCTTTGCTCCAACTGTGGCTGCTCGTTGTTTAGATAGGGATCCTTTGCATGTTTCTTCATGGTGGACACTATGAGCTCATACTCTAATAATACCACCGGTAGGCGCCGATTGATTACCAAAACGGATGCAGAAGAAAAAGCTTTGGATAAGATTTCTCGTGAGGTAAGCTAACCTAAGTGTCTTTATTAGATTTGGTCAGATTTTCGAATTTTTTTTT